ATATATATATATTACAAGGTAACTCCCCTTTCCTCTTGCTAAGAAACCCATTATATAGGACTCAAAGTGATATCCCTAATCCTGAATTTTATACTGCCAATCCAATTGCCTTGCCTTATCATTTTTCCTATTTTCTTAATTGTGAATTATACTGCTATAAAATACAACAACTTTCAGATCAAGGCAACTGTATTTTGTTTAGAGATTATACAAAACTTATATTCTGAGCTGAGTGAATGACTAAGTATAGACATGTTTGCAATGCTGTGCCCATCTCACTATGCTCAAAGACCATCAGCAACAGAATACTAACCATACATTTTCTAGGGCAACATTATGCACTTACCCTGTATCTACTGCAATGTGAGCGAAAGATTGGTCTGTTGACAAAGCTTGTATTTTGAATATAAGAATTCATAAAAGCTCAAATAATCTTAACTGTATTTCTCCTTCAATTGGATAATGAGGATAGGTACATATTTTATAGTACTCATCTAATGCTTTTATATAAAATGGTTTACTGTGCAAAATGATTTGGCATTAATCTTTTGATAGAAAGTATTATTAAGATCATGTATAACTCTTACAATTTCTGTGCATTAAAAACAAAGGCAGCCAATTACTACTGATTTTAGTGATTGAAAGTTATGGTAAGGACCAGGGATTTAGCTCAGTGGTTCCACTGCCTGCCTCTCAAGCGCAAGTTCCCGGGTTTGATCTGCAGGACGAAAAAAAAGAAAGGAAGTTATGGTGTAACAAAAAACAATATTTTTTAGAACAGCAGTTTGAAATCCATTCTGAACATGAACAAGAGTCAACTTGTCTGTCAGTCATTGTATCCTGACTTTTCCAAAAAGAAGAAAAAAAAGCTTACTAGAAGTTAGGACACTACTGAGTTGAAATTTCTAAGGCTGTTCCAACCTTTTTGTTATATTCTCATCCACCTTGTCCATGGATGAAAACTGATGTGAACATATTACTGACTGAAAAGAAGCATCAGGGACTTTTCTGTAGTCCTTTTAATGGTTCTGACTAACCATGCTTAAAATCCAATTGCTATTTAAATCAGACAGTGAGGCCTTCTTTTATTGACATGACATTTACTGTTCCGTGACTTGAATAGTTATATTCAGCAGGTTCTTAACTTTAGGATAACACAAGACTATTTAACTCCAGGTCTTGAAATGATACCTCTACAAGTGATACTCTTAAGACTCTACCTAAAATATCTCTCACATTACTGATAGTCAGTTCTGAAATTCAAAATAATTATTTTCTTAGAATTATAAGTTTCAGTTTATCAAACTCAGGACATTCTATTCATGGTTGAATTATGAGACTAGAAATCATTCTATTGTCCATACTTAAACGTGACATTACACATCATGCATTCTGATAATTTTTTTTCTTTTCTTTCTTTTTTTTACATTTCTTTTTTATGTTCTCACCACACCATTGTAATGTCTACAGCTCGCCCTGTTGGTAAGTAGCCATCCTTCTATCCATTTAGCATGGCTTTATATAATGCATCATAATTCATACATTTTAGCATTTGAAACTATATATTTCTTCACCTATGTTAAAATATTACTTGAGAAGCTGTCTGCTATAAAGTTGTTACTTTTCATCCTTTTGATAAACTACATAACATTCAATAGGTACCAATTTTCATGTAAAATAATATATAAATGATTGCTTTTATAAGTTGCTTTTTTAAGAAAAAAATATAGTATTTCCCTTTTCCATTATATGTATACCATTATAAATTACTACTTATGACTGCTGTTATTTGTTTAATTTTTTTGAACTGAAATTAAAAAGCTTAATTTGGCATGTCAGTTTAAACAAAATTGCACAGAATGCTTTAAATTAGTATACACAGATTCCTGTCATTAGTGTGGAAGGGAGGGAAAAGTTTGTTCTTTGCATGAAAAGTTAGTGATTATTTTTTCAATATATCTTATGCCTTATTTGGCTTTGCAAAGTTGAATAGCTTGTACTTATAGAAATTTAAATATTAATTATTTGTAAACATTGGGATGATGAAATATTTTCAAGTTTACTTATGTAACAGACTTTCTGCTGCTTGTTCAAAGTTTAATTTAAATCACCAATAGCCACGTTTAAATAAAATATGTCTTGATAATTTTGTGTTAAAGTAAATGAAGAAACGGACGCATAAATAGGTAGATGAATGAATGAATTCATTACATCACTTCTTTAATAACCCAAAAGATATGTTAATAACTTAATCAATTATCAGGGGTTTAGAAATTTTTCCATCAGGCCTCAAAAGCTTTCCTAATGTACTGGCTTGACATTGTTCCCATTTTATCTATATTGGTTGAAATATTCACAGGCATTCTTAGTATAATTATATTTTTTATATAATTAACAAATATAGTAAATAAAATTTTGGTTCTCAGTATGAAATTATGATGTGAAGTTTCTGGTCAGTTCTGTTTTTTAATTACTACTTTAATATCCCTAATCCTATTCACATCATCTCTATAAAAGAGAGGATAATATTAGTTTTTCAGAGCTGGAGCAACAATGAATTGAGTTTCAGATTCAGTGTGTTTGTGAAAAGTGTCCTGTTCACCGATATTGTCTGATATATTTCTAGTCTTTGAGACATATTTTCTTCCATTTTAATACTTAACATATAGTTATGGTTTTAGTTAACTGAAATATAAATTATAAAGCATTTTCTTGCGGTGTAATTATTAAATTAGTCATGCTTTTTAAAATTAATGCTTGAAAACTGAGGATCATGTTGTGATAATTTTAATGCTAATTTTCTTGTATTTGTATCAATTCCTATTAATACTAACTTTCTAGGTCAGTGATTTGACATTTAAAATGAAAAAGAAAATGGGAAAGAATGAGATAACACAGGAACATACAGAGAAGTGACAGCAGGCTACCTGACCACCCTGTTTGAGTTCTTCTTTCAACTTCTGGAAACTAGATTTTAGATCCAGAGATTGACTCAGTTATGTGTCAGAAAGGAAGCATTTTAATATACATGAAGGAAGCATTTACATAATAAAAATAAATGGAAAGATTTATATATGTTACATATAATAAAAGTATAGATTATCTATCGTAAAAATTAATCAGGACTAATATGAAAATGTTACTATTTTTTGAATTCTTGATAAGGAAACAATAAAAACCTTCGCAAGTTTATCTATAAGTTATTTTAAGTTAATAAACTTATGTTTTTATAGTAGATATTAAAATAGATGAATAGATGAGTATGTTTCTTAATAAAAGGATGGCATTAGACATAGCTCAGATTTTAGGTTGTTTTTGCATTGACGACTATGGTATTTATAAGAAAAAGACCTTTCAATGAACAGAAAAATAAATGAACAGAAAAAATGAACAATAAAATCTCACTTAAAAATATCAGTCTCTCTATAGAATCCTCATGTAAATACACAACTGCTTCATTTATATAATGTCACAAGTTCTTACCACATAACCCATTAAATTTTTCTGATATATTTAAATCTATTAAGCAAAGAAAAATTCAAGCATTGAAGTGATGTGATTTTTAAGGGTATTAAGATGTTATCTGTCGCAAGCAAGGCATTTCAAATGTTTTTTCTAATTTTTATTCTTGATTGAAATGATTTCTCAAATTCCCATTGGACTGGAAATAAAGAATAGCTGCTTGACACATTGTACTTTATTCTTGGGAAGTCTGTCATTTTATAAATCTATCTCAGATGACTTATGACAATGTTCAGAAATATGAAGAACTATACTTTAACTTGACAACTACTATTAATATTGGAAATGGATGTTACATACATTTTATTGGATTAAGAAAGAAGAGACTGTTAATGAAGAAATTAGCCAGGTGTTTCTTTTTATCAACTCTTTGGATCAATGTAAATTCAGTAACTGTATATATTTAAACATTTATTGTAGGGCCAAGAAGTAAAAGTCAAGTAATATAATTATTTAAGTTTTAATTCAGTATTAATTTGGTGAAGAAATTTGTATGAAGTACATAAAATTAGAAGGATAGCACCTGTCTGAAACTTTTGAAAGAAAATTAGAAATTCTTGAATTTTCTAGAATACTTCTAGATGCAGAAAACCATAAATACATCACACTCTGAAAGATCTCCTGTGCGGAAGCCCTGTTTAGACTCCATTCTATACACCACTAACTGGAAGTTTTAGCCAACAAGAAAGCTCAGGAGCTGCAGTTAAATAAAAGATGTAGCAACCCTGTGCATTTCACAGCTGGCATTAAATGATCTCTAAACTGCAGTTTTGAGATTCTGTGAAAATTTGATGCAGATAATTCTCTAATGGAAAATGTTACTGAAAGCAGTCGATTGCATACTTGCAGAGGAAGCTATATATATTACTCATCTGTAATATCACTAACATCACAAAAATAGCCCTTTAATCCAACTACTATACTTGCTAGTTACCACACATACTACATCAATAATGCTTTGATAATTAGAAATCTGCCAAAATTTCCTATGGTTTTGATTGTTTACTGTTGGGATTTAGCTCAGTGGTTCTGCCACCTGCCTTGCAAGCACAAAGACCTGAGTTCAATTCCCAGTACCAAAACAAAACAAAACAAAAACCAAACCAAACAAAACAAAACAAAAAAAACACAAAGGCATTCTTTATATAAAAACTACCTACATCTTAGGGCATAGTTAGCTATGAGCATTGAAGTATTCATTTGTTTATTTGGAAAACTATTCAAATGAAGGAACTGACAAGAAAAAAAATCTAAATATGGATATCTTCCTTCCTATAACCATCTGTTTTATTTTTCTATCAAAAGCCCTTCCCAAGCTTAAAAATAAAAAAAGAACATCTATTTTGGAGATGGGCAACACATTTTTTTCCTTACAGCAACTCAAAACATGATGAGTAATTTGGAAAAGAACTGTCAGAACTACCAGCTGCCTTGCTTGTGAAGCTGAGCCCTGCTCTGTTTTGTATCTCTGAGCCATATGCTATCTGCTGATCCCTTCAAGTATAGAAATTAAAGGCTGAGTGTATCAGGTGAAACTTGCTTAAAATATAAAAAACAAAGCAAGAATGTACAAATTTAAGGAAATTTCTATATTTTCCTATTCTGTAACACTAAAATATGTTTCCTTTGGCTAAAAATAATAGTGGCTGTGCTAGAATTTATAAATATGTATTGACAAATATATATTCATGGAAAAATTCAACTTCCCTAGATTGTTTAACTGAAGTCCTTGCTATTTTCTACAAAATGAAATTTTTATAGACCTATTTTAATGGTTTTACTGCTCAAATAAAAATAAACACATTCTCATTTTTGAAAGTTCTGTTTTATTAAATGAAAAGGGGTTTGTTATAACATTCTATAAAACATTTTGTTCTTGAGGCTACAAGTTCAATACAAAGAGTGATTGGAAAATTCATCTCAGCATATTAGAAATCAATATTACTTTTACAAATATAATAGATAGTCCCAGTACTTTCATCTTCTACTCAAACTCAAAATTTGGAAAATTTAATGTATTCTACCCAGTTTTAATTAATATTGAAAGTGTCCCAGTTCTTTTTTTAAATCAGAAAACATGTAGTTTTTAGGCATTGTGCTTAGATGCACTATCTGCAAAAGATGCTCTGAGTGATTTTGCAAGTAGACCTAGAATTTTTTTCCTTGCATCCTTTCTTTGGACAAACCATTGCCCTGTGACCTGAGGTGATCTTCTCTTTCCTGAAAGCATTTAATGTTTCCTGCACCTGGCACTAATTAACGACATTATGCAGAGTCCCAATTAATTATTACTAAGCATCACATTTTTCATTGCTCCATATGGTTTGATTAAATGATAGGCTAAAAATAATACACGCAATCTTAGCTTGTGTATTCCAACAGTTTCCACAATGTGAAATGTTTGAAGTATCTTAAACTAACACTAATTTTTAAAGTGAAAATCAAGCACCAGTTACTTCACGTCCTAAACTATTTAATCTTGTGTGTTTAATGGTGTCTGTCCATTGTCTTTACAGGAAAGGCTAGTTATAAAATTACTGAATTATACTTTTTTTTTTTCTCTTTTTGTTTTGTCATTGAAAGGTTTTGTAATGAAGCCTGAAGCTTTCAGAGTATTTTCCCTTTTGGGTTGGAGTGTTTTTTCACTCTCCTATATGAATACCTGTGCAGTTCTTCCAAATACCTTTGCTGGCTTATACTTTAGTGTGGATCATCTTGTATCTAATATTCTTGGGACACGTCAAGCCTCTCAAGTCTATATAATCATGATTTAACTGACTTTGTTTCATGACTATTTTCTGTTTTATCCTTGAATATTTTTGTGTGTTTCAGTTTTTCTTTTCTTCAAATACATTGGTTATGTTGGCTTACATTTTTCTACATTCCGTATTTATCAACTTCTCTGTAGTAATTTCAGTCATTCATTTTATTCTAATGTATGTCTGTCTTTTTTTAGGCAA